GCCGCCGTTAACGGCCTCGGAACGCTGCGCCGGCCAATCAGCGCACCACTCTGCCCGCGCCCCGCCCCATCTCGCGCGCCCCCGCCCGGTGCGCTCCACGCCACTAGGATGGGCCAGATCCCACCCTGCCAAGCGGGATAAGGATGCACGTGCCGCGGGGCGCGCCGCACTTTCATTGGCTGGCCCGCCGGGCGCGGCCTCCGAGCCATCCTGTAAGGGCTGAGGTTTGCGGAGGCGGGGCACGGAGGGGCGGGCTCAGCGAGGAGCACAACACGCAGGCGCGAGTGGGGCAGGCTGCTGCGTTCCACTTGGAGACCTCTCTGAGTCCGGCTCTGAGACGTAAGGGCCCGGGGAGGATCACGATTCATACGCGTGTCCTGGCACGCAAGGTTGGGCTGAAGTCTTGTTGAACATTACTCCAGGAGTCGTGGATGGGGGAACCTGCGTGCATCCCCTCTTTAGGCCAGGGCAATGCGTGTCCACTGCGTCTGCGCTCTTGGCCTTGTTTGGAAGGCAACTGCAAAAGGCTGCGCATGGATAGCAACGTGAACCCAGAGGTACTATCCCTGGCCCGACGTATCTGCTGAGAGTTTGCCCACGTGCGGGGTACTCCACCTTTTCCTAAATCTTCAAGCCGCCCTTAGGACCCATTACCATGGGAGAACCTCCAGACGTACGTCTGGACCCTAGGTCAGCTCCGGAACCCCCAAATCGGATTCCACGTTTCCCCCACCAAGCAACCCACTCCCTCTCGATGTCCACATGGTGTCTCCCTATCCCTCTGTTGTTATTTTCATGGTCCCACTTCATTTCTCTGCAGACCATATTTTAAATTAGACACAGTGTTTAAATCACAATGTACATAACATTTAAAAAAATACTTTAGTTGTAGATGGACACAATACTGTTATTTTATGTATTTATGTGGTGCTGAGGATTGAGCCCAGTGCCTCACACATGCTAGGCAAGTTCTCTACCACTGAGCCACAACCCCAGCCCTGTACGCAATGTTGTTATACAGGTTACTGTCCTCTAGAGTGTGTTCTTTCTTTTTTTGCAAGCCATTGCATTTGTAAGCTCTCTTCTGGTACACACTTGATACATTACTTAGATTGTGGCCTAGCATTACCTGTTACACATCTGTCATCGTTTACTTAGTGATTCTTCCACCTCCCGGCTTCCACAAACTTCTTGGCTGTAAAGTGGAATCTCATAATCATTTTAAGATGTATTTTTCATTAACAGCCACTAACACCATTTTTTAAAAAGTGACGGCCATTTTTAGTCCTTTCAGGTTTTTTTTTCTTGTGAATTTTCAAGATTCCTTTGATTCTCTTAAATATTAAGCCTGTGTTGTTTTTGCTATTGCAAATATCTTTTCTCATCTTTTGTAAAAGAAAAATCCTAATTTTGATGGGATTCAAAGTGTATATCTGTATATTTTCATTGTTGTTTTTGCAATTGTTGCCGTGCTAGCTATAGAACCCAAAGCCTCAGGCATGCTAGGCAAATTACGAGCCTGCTACATACTTTTGTATCTTATTTTTTGAAGAGGACATCTCCAAGTTGACGTCTTTTAAAATACTTTTAGTGACTGCATATCAAACTTTTAATATTCATGAATATCTGACTATAGTGGTTGGGCACTTAGATTATTTTTGCCCTATTTCTGCATAACCATAGATTGAATTTTTTAGCACTAGACCATCATTCTCTGATTACTCCTAGCATCTTTATTAGAGACATGGCATTTCCTTACCGTCTAAATTATTTCAGTGTGTACCTGAATTATAGAGGGTCTTTCCAGTGCCCTGGCCTGTCAACTCATTGGCCCCTTTGTCTTTTGCATGGTCCTAGATGTTGACCCTGCTCCCACTGGCCACTGACTAGCACCTTTTATTCTGCCCCCCCCCCCCAATTTTGTATAATCTGGTAAAATACACATAAATTTACTATTTATTTATGGTACTAAGGGTTGACCCAAGGGCGCTTAACTAACACCGAGCTACATCCCCATTTTTTTTTTTTTTTTTTTTTTTTTTTTAGAGACAGGGTTTGGTAGGTTGTTGAGGCCCTCACTAAGTTTCTGAGGCTGGCTTTGAACTTGTGATCCTTCTGCCTCAGTCTTCCAAACTGCTGGGATTACAGGCATGTGCCACCGTACCTAGCTATTAGTGTTAATTTGTATTTCCCCAGTAATTAAATGACATTGAGCATCTTTTTGTGTATTTGCCTTAAATGCTTTTAATCATGACTCATATTACCAATTATATTTTATGTATACAATGTTTCTATTTTGGATAATGAAAAATTTTGGAACTAGTGGGTGGTTTTGCAACAATGTAATATACCTGATGCCACAGAACAATACATTTTAAAATTGTTAAAATGGTAAATTTTATGTTGTACAGGTTCAGCATGTCTAATCAGCAAATCCAAAATCTGAAATATTTTGAGTGCTGACATGATGCCACAAATGGAAAATTCCAGACCTAACACCCTGGGGTGGTTCACAGTTAAAACTAAAAATGTAAAAAAATGACCTTCACTTTTGTTTTAAGGTTTGAGTCCCTTTCCCTAAGGAATTTCATTAAATATATGTGAATATGCCAAAATTGAAAACAATCCAAAATACTTCTGGTCCCAAGCGTTTGGATAAGGGATACTCAAACTGTATATTTTTACCACAACTAAAAATAATTTAAAAATTGTTTCAAGTCAGGTGTAGTCCTGTAGTCCCAGCTACTGGAGAGGCTGAGGCAGGCACATTACAATTTCCAGGTGAGCAACTTAGACCCTGTCTCAAAAAAAAAAAAAAAATAATGAAAGGGATAGGGATGTATCCCAGTGGTAGACCACTTGCTTATCATGTTCAATCCCCAATACCACCACCAAAAAAAAAAAAAAATGTTTACACTGTGATCCAGTGCACATATATGTGAAATAAGTTTCATGATTTAATATTATTTTTAAAATGCCCTGATATGTTTCATGCTTCTACTTCTATTTTATTAACAAAATCCAGGACACAACTCTCTAAGTGATCTTGTCACCATAATGAGGTTCAATGAAATTCTTTATAGAAGCAGAGGATGCCTTCCAGGCTCTTGACATTGCCAAAGAGATTTTAACGATGTGTCAGGTTAGCCATAAGAGGAAGAGCTTTATTAGAATGTGAAAGGTAAAGATACATTTTCTTGGCCTGAGGTTGTGGCTTAGAGGTAGAATGCTAGCCTAGCACGTGTAACACGTGTGAGGCCCTGGATTCAAACTAACAAATATTTTTAAAAGATACATATTCTCAGAGCAGAATGTGGCTATCAGCAGAGCAAGATGTGCTTTTGGAGTCTTGGACTTTTACAGGAAACTTTGAGAGGGGAGGGATGGGCAGGAGAAAGTAGATAGGAATGACATCTTCCTAGTGAACTCAGTTCTTTGATTATGGATCACAAGACTTTTATGATGTCAGCCCTATCTAATGTTGGGAATGTGCCTATGTTTTAGGTTTTTTAAAATACAGCTCTTTGTTTTACCTAGTCTGAAAAAAAAAATTGTGTAGACTAACAGTACATGTAAGTTTTAATCAAAATAAGGCAGTGTTCACAGATGAGTAAATTTACAATAACTTTAAAATTTGTAGATTCCGGGCTGGGGATGTGGCTCAAGTGGTAGCATGCTCGCCTAGCGTGCATGAGGCACTGGGTTCGATTCTCAGCACCACATAAAAACAAAATAAAGATATTGTGTCCACCTAAAACTAAAAAAAAAAAAAAATAATAATATTTAAAAAAAAGTTTGTAGATTCCTCAGAAATTTGGGAATGAAACTTGTGGAGGAAAAATCAGGTCTAGGGAGTAAGTCTAATCATGGGACTTTTAGATTTATAGCTGCAGTCTCTTTCTCTCCCCTTAATCTATTTTCTCCTTTATTTCTCATCTTTATTTCTTTTATTCTTAATTATTTTTTAGTTGTAGGCAGACATAATATCTTTATTTCATTTATTTTAATGTGGTGCTGAGGTTTGAACCCAGTGCCTCATGTAAGCTAGGCGAGCACTCTACCACTGAGCCCCAGCCCCAGCCCCAGCCCCTCATCTTTATTTCTTCTATTTTACCTCAGTCTCACAAGATGCACATCAGCTATGCTCTGCCATCTGCCACTCACTGCTGGTCCTTCTCATCACACTGACTCTAACCACAGTTTCAACAGCCCATGCTGATAGGCTTCCTTTCCACTCTTGGAACCTCTCCTTTTAGCTCCCAGCCCCACAACTCATGGTCCTACTGCCTGTCCTCCTCCTCTCTCAGTCCCTTTCCCACACTCACGTTTGAAAAAAAAAAAAAAAAAGTCTTCCGACACCTGGAAACACAGCAGTGCAGCTGGATGCAGCTTTACTTTCAGGAGATTAATTTGTAAGAGAGCTTAGTCCTCATGGCCACCGTCCATCAGCTCCACCTCTCATGTCCATTTAGGTTCCTATCCTTCTGCAAGACAATTATATGTCTCCTTCTACTTTGCTAACTCTGTGCCCTCCTATATGAAAACAGACACGGACAGGAGAAAATTTCTCCCTGTTCACCCCATTAAACATCCCATCAGTGTGCCTCCCTTGCCCATCAGCCAATGCCATTAATACAGGGCTCATGTCCTCAATTCTCCTCTTTCCTAGTGGTCCCACAGAAAAGGAGACACGTTGTAAATTCCATCTGCCCCTTTAGCTATCCCCATGTACTGTGGTTTGAATATGGTTTGTTTCTTCTGAAAATTGTTGAAATTCGACACTGCGACAGTTTTGGAGGTGGGGCCTTAAAAAGGTGATAAGGTGGTTAAGAGGGATTAATGCCTTTCTGTCAGTGAATTCTCATTCTTGGGGAGAATGAATTAGTACCCCTCCCAAGTAGGCTATTTAAAAGCCAGGCTGTCCTTCTTATTTCCCTCCTTTCACACATGCCTTTCTGCTTTCTTCCATGAATTAAAGCAGCAAAATGCCCTCATTAGAAGTAGCTGCCTAAACTTACATTTCCTCAGCCTCCAGAACCATGAGTCAAAATGAACCTCTTTTCTCTCTCCCTCTCTCTGTCTTTTTTCTTCTTCTTAGTACTGGGGATTGAACCCAGGGGCTCTTAACCATTGAGCTCCATCTCCAGTCCTTTTTATTTTATTTTATTTTATTTTTGAGTCAGGGTCTCACTGAATTAATAAAATTCTGACTAAATTGTTGAGGCTGTCCTCAGATTTTCAGTCCTCCTGACTCAGTCTCCTTAGAGTTGCTGGAACTACAGACGTGCAACATTTTGACTGGCAAGACAAACCTCTTTTCTTTATAAATCATCAAGATTCAGGAATTTTCTCATAGTAATAGAAAATGAACTAAGGCCCCACATTTTTCTACAACTGTTCATGGCAAGATTATTTAGAAGTGGCCTAACCTGGGTCCTCCCATCCTCACTCACCCCTCATTCCCATTGCACCTCCACATTACCAAACCTCAAGTCTGGGCTCAGTTCACAACTTACCAGATGGTTGAGGCAGCATTTCATATGGCTTGGTCACTACCTCTAAACACCTTCGCTTTGATTCTGGGACTCCACTCTCCCTCACTGGGTTCCCTTTTTCCAAATCTTCTTACCCACCTGATGTTGGAGGACATAAAGCTCTGTCCTCAGGGCTCTGCTCTTCCTTATGCATTTGTGACAGGTGATTTCCTTTAGGATCATCTGCTATGAAAACAATCTTTACACTTATACTTATCAAATGGATACCTCAGCACAAACTTACCTGCATGCCAGGCTTACATGTCCAGTTGCCTAATATATAAATATAAATATATATACTTTTATCTATATGTGGTGCTGAATCAAATGCACTGCCTCACACATGCTAGGTAAGTGCTCTATTACTGAGCCACAACTCCAGCCCCATGATGTTGTTCTCCTGCCAGGGAGAAAGTTTCAAGAACTTTCTGATCCAGAAGCTGTAGGGCAGAGGCCAGTCCACTCTTTTTTTAGTGGTGCTGGGGATTGAACCCAGGGCCTTGGGCATGCAAGGCAAGCACTCTGCCAACTGAGCTATATCCCCAGCCCATCAACCCACTCTTCCAGGAAAGTTAAACCTTTTACTCCACAGTTCCTCTGCTTACTGCTCTCCAGGCACACCCACTTTTTTGCTGCTCCTTCATAGTGACCCTTCCTTCAGGGTTCTACTTATATGGCTCCTTCTCAGAGAAGCCTTCTGTTTATGCTCTGGGGACCAGTCTCCCCAACCTTCTACCCTCTCTATTGCCTCACCTGACTTTATTTTTCCTCCTCCACACCCCTCCTTCCCTTTGTTGATTTTATTGCCAGTCTCCTGTAACCAGAATGTGTGCTTCTTGAGAGCAGGGACTTGATTTGTTCTTATCTCTCGAGTGCTGAGGACATGTGCCAGGTAAGCACCCCCTGCAGGATGTTCCAGAATTGAATAAGATCCAAGATAGGAGCTACAGAGTTGATGCTGAGGAAACGTTAGTGTTCTTTCTGACATTCAGCCCCTTACTCTCAGGAAATCCAGTGGAGAGTTTCTCAGGAAAAGACAGTATTTACTCAAGGGACAGAGGTTACACTGAGCAAGCCTGCCTTGTGTTCCAATGTGGGTGAGTGGAACAGGCTATGTATTTCGCTTTTTTGGGTGGGGGATGGTGTTGGGAATTGAACTTAGGGGCACTCTGAGCCACATCCCTAGCCCTATTTTATATTTTTTAAAAAAATATTTGTTTTATTTATCTATTATGTGGTGCTGAGGATCAAACCCAGAGCCTCATACATGTGAAGCAAGCGCTTAACCACTGAGCTACAACCCCAACCCCCACCTATTTTGTATTTTATTTAGAGACAGGGTCTCTCTGAGTTGTTTAGTGCCTTGCCTTTGCTGAGGTTGGCTTTGAACTTGCACTCTTAAGAGTGTCACCTTTCTCAGCCTCCTGAGGCGTGTACTACCATGCCCTACTCAAGCTATGTATTTCATAAATGGATGAGAACATTAAATCTTTGGAATTGTAATAGTTTCAGGGTCTGTTGGAAGCTCTCCAAATCTGTATAGAATGGCATCATGCAAGCATTCACTGCTGTGCTGGAGCCAGACCTTGAAGATAGAGTCTGGCAAACTTGGAATGGAACCACCATTTGATTCAGTTATCCCACTCCTTGGTCTATATCGAAAGGACTTAAAATCAGCACACTACAGTGATGCAGCCACATCAATGTTTATAGCAGCTCAGTTCACAATAGCTAAGCTATGGAACTAACCTAGGTGCCCTTCAACAGAAGGATGGATAAAAAAATGTGATATATATCTATATATCCATATATACGGATAAATATATATGTATCCATATATATCTATATATAGATACATTTACTTGCAAGTGTCGTCAATTCATTCCTCTTTATGGCTGAGTAATAAAAAATGGAATATTACTCAGCCATAAAGAGGAATGAATTGATGACACTTGCAAGTAAATGTATGGATTGGGAGACTATCATGCTAAGTGAAATAAGCCAGTCCTTTGTAGGTTTAATGTTTTTATTGATATGTGGAAGCTAACCCACAATGAGGGGAGAGAGTAGAAAAAATAGATATTTAGTAATTTGGACAATGGGGAATGAAGAGAAGGAAGAGAGGACAGGAAAAGGAAAGACAGTAGAATGAATCATAAATAGTTTTCCTATGTACTTATAGGAATACATGACCAGTGTGACTCTACATCATGTTAAACCATGAGATGCTAATTAGAATAATTTATAATCCATGTATGTTTAATATGTCAAAATACATTCTACTGCCATGTATATCTAAAAAGAAAAATTAAAACAAAAAGAAATTAAGGCTGAAAAACCCCACAAGATTTATTATTTTGTGGAACAGAAGAGAAGTCTTGGGTTGTAGCTCTACTTTATCATTTATTAGTTACATGCCTGTAGGCAAATACATTAAACCCCTTTTAACCTCAGTTTCACTATCTATGGAGTGTAGAAAATAATACCAGCTTCCATGCCTTATAAAACTTTAGAAGGAGAAAATGTGACAAAGTATGTAAAATTGATTTGAAACTGTTAGTGTTATACAAATTTGTGCTTTTGTTTTTGTTATTTTGGAAATAACTGGCAAAAAGATACTCAATAACCCAAGAATGACACTATAAAAAGGTTATTTTTTAAAAAATATTTTTTCAGTTATAGATGGACACAGTATCTTAATTTTGTTTATTTTTTTTGTGGTGTTGAGTATCAAACCCAGTGCCTCACATGTGTGAGGCAAGCGCTCTGCCACTGAGTCACAGCCCTTTAAATAACCCCAGCCCAAAAAGGTTATTTGTATGCTTAAAAAAAAGATAGGGTTTGGCACAGTGACCTCCCCAGGGGATTCAGTCTGGCTGTGAACCATAGCTGAACTGTGTTCCCCTTAGACAGTCAAGGACCACCACAGGGACAAAAGACAAATTCATTCCTGCGGTCTTCTACACATAGGCATGTAAATAACTTAAGGAGTGTTCATTTAAAAACTGGTAATACAATGCTTATTAGCTCTAAATTCATTAAACCTAGTTTGTTCTTCAAGACTGAGGACTCCAAGTTAATAGAAACTAAGGTATTCTCACAATTTGCAGAGATATTGACCTGGCAGTTAAAAAAAAAATATATATATATATACACACACACACACACACATACACATATTTAGTTGCAGATGGACACAATATCTTCATCTTATTTATTTATTTACTTATTAACATGGTGCCAGGGATCAAACTCAGTGCCTCACGCATGCTAGGCAAGCGCTGTACCACTGAGCCACAACCCCGCCTGACATACCAGTTTTTACAATGTCCTATTCCAGACCCTTTGGAGTGGCACCTGGAAGTCTTCAGTCATGGTCCTACACTTCCAGGAATAGCAGAGCCTTTCAGGCACAGCATCTCATGATGAGACTGTCTTCCTAAGCAGAAGCAATCACCTTATGGAACTGAATTGCCTCCGCTTCCAGGATCACAGATCTGATAGATAAACATCCTGAAAAACAAATGGAGATTGCCCCTTTAAGCAACAAGGATTTCTCTGGAATCTCCTGGCAGAATCAGAACTGAGATAATGACCAACCAATAAACCCCATGAAACGCTCCTCCATTTTCTTATTTGGGGAGCTTTCTCCCTAAGTGCTGTCTTACCTCTCCCTTGAGGTTAAACTCCTCAATTAAAGCTTTGCCTGTGTGTCCCATACTCTTGGCCTGGTTTCATTTCTATTGTCCTGGGGTCAGAGGCTCCCAGCTCTTGTATCACCCCCAAAATTTGACAGCAAATGGATCTTTAAGGAAGTAATTAAATTCAAATGATGTCATTAAGATGGACCTTAAACCCGGTGGGTGCGGTGTTAGTGTTGTGTGTCCACCCAGCAGCTGGGGAGGCTGAGACAGGAGCATTTCGAGTTCAAAGTCAGCCTCAGCAAATTGGTGAGACACTTAGCAACTCCGAGAGACCCTGTCTCTAAATAAAATATTTAAAAGGGCTGGGAATGTTGCTCGGTGCTTAACCACCCATGGGTTCAATCCTCAGTAGTACCAAAAAAAAAAAAAAAAATGCCCTTAATCCAATATGACCAGCATCCTTATAAGAAGGGATTAGGAGTGGGCATAGTGGTACATTTGCTTGTAATCCCAGCAACTAGGGGGGTTGAGGCAAGAGGTTCACAAATTCAAGGCCAGCCTCAGCAATTTAACAAGACCCTGTATCAAAATAAAAGTGAGTGGGGATATAGCTCATTGGTTCAATCCCTAGTACAAACAAACAAAAACCAAAGAATGAAATAAATATATACAAGAATAAGACATGTGAAGATCATGCCATGAGAAAATGGCATCTATACAACTAGGAGAGGCCTCAGAGGAAGTCAATCCTGCTGACATCCTGATTTTGGGCTTCTAACTCTAGAATTGTGTAATCCCTATTGTTTAAGTCACCAGTCTGTGGTACTCTGTCATGGTGGTCCTAGAAGACAAATACACTTGAGTTTGTGGGGGCAGAAAGATTCCTAAACCAATTCTCCTGAAGCATCTCCCAGCTGGCCTTCCATCCCCAAATCCTGCCTAGAATCCCTGGGTCAGTCAGGACGGAAGAGTTTACTTACGTGGAACTTGAATTCAAGCTGACAGGACAACTGTTCCAAAGACAGAGAACTTAATCTCTTCAGGCACTGGGGGTCTGCTTGGCCATGTAAGGGGCTGGGATGAAGACGTTGCAGTTCCCCTTGAGTTCTAAACTTCTATGGTTTCCTTAATAGTTTCCTTCATGATATTAAAACCCATTAGGAAGTATGCAGGTGCCGTTGCCATAGCAACTGCAAGTCATCTTATGTTCTTCCCAAATTAAAAAAAATCTCCTGCTTTAGGACAGAGGAAAGATGTAAGAAAATAGATGAAATTAAGTTATTGATGGAAGCAGTTACCATGGTATCATGCTGTCCTTGGAGCCTGCCAGCTGCCACTTGATTTCTCCATTTCTCCAGTAAATGAAGGAGAGAAGAAAAGGACCTGCCTTCCACAGTGAGGGAGAAAAAGAAATTATATTTTTTTCCATAGCTTTTACTCAAACTGTATGTTTTAATTAGAGATAGTTGACTAATTATAGGAATTTATATCTGCAGAGTAGCTCTGCACCAAATGTACTGGGCTTCTCAAAGCTTTAACAAATCACTTGCAGATCTTATTAAAATGTAGACACTAAAATGGTAAATGTGGAGGGCCACCTGAGATTCTGCATTTTTAATTTTAAACCGTGATAAAAGACATATGACATAAAATTTTTTAAAAAAGTGTTGGGAATGTGGCTTAGTGATCAAATGCCCCTGGATTCAATCCCTGGTACCACACAAACACACACACACACACACACAAAAAAAAAAAAAAAAAAAAAGACATGAAATTTACCATCATGCTTGGGAGGCTGAGACAGGAAGATCACGAGTTCAAAGCCAGTCTCAGCAACTTAGAGAGGCCCTAAGACCCTGTCTGTAAATAAAATATAAAAAATATGGCTGGGGAGGTGGTTCAGTGGTTAAGTGCCCCTGGGTTCAATCCTCATACCAAACAAACAAACAAACCCATCACCACCACCACTACCAAAAAAACCTCCAGAACACATTCCAACTCCCCTCCACCCACCAGTGTTGAGGATGAATCCAGGGCCTTAAGCCTGATAGGTAAGTGCTCTACAACTGAGCTAAACCCCTAGCCCCACCAAAACACTTCCTGCAAACCTGAAACCCTTTTTAAATAAGTCCCCATTTTCCTCCTTGCAGAATCTGCATCTATGACCAGGTAACAGATAGGCTGCTGGTCTCTGGACCACATTTGGAGCATCAGGCTTTTGTTTGCAGCTGTTTTTTGTACCAGAGCCTGAGGAAAGTGGCAGGCAGATGAAGAATAAGCAGGCCATATGGTGGGCTTTCCAGGGACTTCCTGGCAGATGGAACAAGAGAACAGGAGATGTCAATTCAGAGGAGTGGACAGAGGGCTACTTAATTTACAAGTGTGAGTAGGATTTACGTAATTGTAGGGAGATCAAAGCATGGTAGAAGTAATGTGAAGACACTAAAAATTCTTTGTTACTGTTTGCTATGGTTTGGAGGTGGTCTGAGTGTTCCTCAAGGCTTCACATGTTGACATTTAATCACCAACATGAAGCATTAAGAGGGTGGACACTTAATCTGGCTACTGTGTTTGGACATGGGGCCTCTGGGAAGTGATTAGGATTAGATGGAGTCATCAGGATAGAGCCCCCATGATGGAATATGGTGGCTTTATAGGAAGAGGGAAGGAGACCAGAAGACACACAGACACTTGCTCCTTCTTTATCTTGCCCTGTGATCTCCTGTACTGCTTCTGGATTCCAGCGAGATGCGAGCCCTTGAACCTTCCGAACTGTGAACTAAATAAACCTCTTTTCTTTTTTTTTTTTTTTAAAGAGAGAGAGAGAGAGAGAATTTTTAATATTTATTTTTTAGTTCTCGGCGGACACAACATCTTTGTTGGTATGTGGTGCTGAGGATCGAACCCGGGCCGCATGCATGCCAGGCAAGCGCTACCGCTTGAACCACATCCCCAGCCCCAAACCTCTTTTCTTTAAAACTTGCCCAGCATGTGATTTTGTGTTATTAGCATCAGAAAATGGATTATTATACTGCTGTATTGACTTGCTAAATTCTCTAGCCAGCTGACTTACTTTCTTTTTGCTATAGCAAATAGTGGTGATATTTATGTTTTTGTACACATGATTGCTTTTCTCCTGAATTGTTCTCAAGGGAAAAAAATACCAGTAATGGAATTACTGAGTCAGAACTCATCTTCTCATTGGCTTCAGTCACAGTGAGATTCCACTGTATTTGTTTTCAGTACTATCAGCAATGCCAAAGAGTATATATTGCTTTACAACTTTACAACATTTGGCTTTTATAATTTCCCCTTTGCTGAAAAAAGAATGAAAAAAAGTAGAGTATGCAGGGCTGAGGGTAGAGCTCTGTGGTAGAGTGTTCCTCTGGCTTATGCAAGCACCTGTGCTCACTCCTGAGCACTGAAAAAACAAAACAAAAAGCACAAAATAGCTCTTCCCAGAACGACACTTCCTCCTTAATTTACTGCACATTATTATTATTATTATTATTATTATTATTATTATTATTATTTTTGGAGGTGCTGGGGATTAAACCCAGGGCCTTGTGCATGTGAGGCAAGCACTTGGCCAACTGAGCTATATCCCCAGCCCCTACATTCCCATATTTACTAATGGCATTGGATGCTTTTCCTCATGTAAGTAGATAATATCCCTTGATTGACTATCAGTTGGGAATGAGGAAATTGAATTTTTGAAGGATAATCTCACCAGATATAAACTAGATTGGTGATTTTTCTCTCAATACTATGTTTTTAATAGGCATGGCAAGAGGGGATATTCAATCTCAGGGGGAAAGCATCTAGCTTTTCACCATTGATATGATATTAGGTGCAGGATTTAAAAGATTTTTTTAGTTGTTGACGGACCTTTATTTTATTCATTTATTTATATGTGGTGCTGAGAATCAAACCCAGTGCCTCACACTTGCAAGGCAAGTGCTCTACCACTGAGCCACAACCTCAGCCCCTAGATGCTTTTTTATAAAGTTGAGAAATTCTTTTCTATCCTAGTCTGCTGAGAACTTATATCATGAATGGGTGTCAGATTTTTGTCAAATACTTTTTCTGCATGCATTGTTACAAACATATTTTTCTTTATCAACCTTTTGATGTGATGGATCACAGTCATTAGTTTTTTTTTTAAAGAGAGAGGGGAGAGAGAATTTTTTTTAATATTTATTTTTAGTTATCGGTGGACACAACATCTTTATTTGTATGTGGTGCTGAGGATCGAACCCAGGCCGCACTCATGCCAAGCGAGCGAGCTACCCCTTGAGCCACATCCCCAGCCCAGTCATTAATTTTTGAATGTTGAATTCACCTTCTTGCATTTCTGGAATGAATCCTATCTGATCATGATGTATGTTTTTTTTTTTATACATTGGTGGATTCCATTTGTTAATATTTTGTTGAGCATTTTTGCATCTATGTTCGTTAGAGACAGTCTGTAGTTTTTCTTCCTTGTAATGTCTTTATCTGGTTTTTGTATTAGGGCAATAATGCTGGCCTCACCAAATAAGTTACGTGCATTCCCTCTGCTTCTGTTTTCTGGAAGAGATAATAAGGAATTGATATTTCTTTCTTTTTTTTTTT